CAGACAAAAAACCCCAAACACAAAACCTTACCTTTGGTTAGTAGGGAATGGAAGAACGGTAGTAGTAGTAGTAGTAGTAGTAGTAGTAGTAGTAGTAGTAGTAGTAGTAGTAGTAGTAGTAGTAGTAGTAGTAGTAGTAGTTGTTGTAGTTATAGTTGTACCCCATTCCTCCGTTCCCTACTAACCAAAGGTAAGTAGGAAAGGGATTAGGGTTTAGGCATTTAGGGTTCTTCAAGGGATCCTTTGAAGGGTCTATAGGGGATCTATAGTAGAGTTCTCAAATACAGTTACAGGAGCCTAAGTACAGTAATATCTATACTATGTTGGGGGCTCCTTGTTACTTGAAGCGATCGATCAGTCTGAGGACTTTTGTTCAAGTGCGATGTGTCCGTCCGAAGGGGCTTAGGGTATAGGTTTTCAGGCTTTATGGGGGGTTAGCTTTTTTAAAGGGCCTCTTTCTATTCCGCAGAAGGTCTAGAGGGGGTTAGGGTTTAGGGTTTAAGCTTTGGGGCCGAGGGTTGAAAGATGTTTGACATAGGCGCCTTAAGGGTTTCCTTTCTACATTATTGTACTAAGGGGCCGGAAGGAATGGTATTGGTAATCATGTATAACCATATACCACGAAATGACATCGCAAAGCGGACTGAAACTCAGGTCTCTAAACCCTAAGCCCTACCGAAAAGCCAAGTGGCTGCAGCAGTCGGGTGCATAAGGCGCCAACAGCAATCCCGTGACCATCGCCACGAAGCCAGTCCTTACTTGCCGGATGCCCTAGGAAACGAAGGACTTTGGGCTTCAGGACTCAGGGTTGGGTGTTTTGAGGCTTGGGACTTCAGAGCTTAGGGTTTGTGGTCTTGGGTGTAGGGCTTATGGGATAAATAGGGTTCAAGACTGTCAGAAACATTAACCAAGTTGTCTAAGAGCAAAAAGCTTTAAAGGAAGGACAACGGAGAAAATCTATCCACTACTACAGCTATCATACACCTACTTCTATATTCATAATCTACCTACTACTACTACTACTACTACTACTACTACTACTACTACTACTACTACTACTACTACTACTACTACTACTGCTACTACTACTACTACTACTACTTCTACTACTTCTACTACTTCTCTACTACTTCTACTACTTCTACTACTACTACTACTGCTACTACTACTACTACTTCTTCTTCTACTACTACTACTACGACTATATTACTACCACTCCTACTATACTACTAGCCAAGACACACTACGACCCACGGCCCCGTGTCGCAGCGGCAAAAAAACCCAGGGGTCTCTGGGCTGACTTGGCTGTAGGTGGGCAGGTCGAAAAGGTAGGACGCAAGGAAGGCCGCAGAAACCTGGGGCTTTGGGTTTAGGGGCTTAGGGGTTTAGGGGTTTAGGGTTTAGGGTTTAGGGGTTTAGGGCTTAGGGGTTTAGGGTTTAGGGTTTAGGGCTTAGGGCTTAGGGGTTTAGGGTTTAGGGGTTATAGGGTTTAGGGTTTAGGGGTTTAGGGCTTTGAAATAACCAGGGAGACAAAAGTATAGACTCTTTAATTTATACTGGTTCCCTTTAATAAGTAAAAGTAACAGGTCCCCAAAAAAGTAATTACTAAAGTATGGTACGCCAAAAACGAAAAAAAAAAACCCTAAACCCCTAAACCCTAAACCCTAAAACCCTAAACCCCAAACCCTAAGCCTAGAAACCCACAGGGACCACCAAAGCAGGAGCCAGCGTCTGCAGGAGTGCAGGGTCAGCGCCAGGTATTTCCTATACTGAACTTAGACCCCTAGCAAAAATCCTAATTTTAGCTGCTTCTTAGGGATTATAATAACCAATTTTTTTAAAAAAAATTGTATTTTTAGCTGTTTCTTAGGGGTTATAATAACCCAAAAACTAAAGCAAAATATTTTCCAAGTACCCCTAAGTTGCGAGAAGCCCCAGGTCTGCCAAGAATGGGACAAGAAGGCCTGGGTTTAGGGCTTTAGGGGTTTAGGGTTTAGGGGTTTAGGGCTTTAGGGCTTTAGGGCTTTAGGGGTTTAGGGGTTTAGGGCTTTAGGGCTTTAGGGGTTTAGGGGTTTAGGGCTTTAGGGGTTTAGGGGTTTAGGGGTTAGGGTTTAGGGCTTTAGGGGTTTAGGGTTTAGGGTTTAGGGCTTTAGGGGTTTAGGGCTTTAGGGTTTAGGGCTTTAGGGGTTTAGGGTTTAGGGCTTTAGGGGTTTAGGGGTTTAGGGTTAAAAACAAATTAGTTTAAGTTACCATAATAGGGACTGTTTTAAAATTATGGCTTTCTTATCATGGTAATTACCTCGAATCTTAACAAGAACCCAGAGGCGTCATAGCCCGAAGCCGGCTGTGACCACTGCAGCAGCTCTCTGCGGCCCTGGTCAGACATAGGATACATAGGCCGCCGCCATATCCAGCCCCACTGTCGCAGCGACCGGCGCATGCTTATTGCCCGAATGTGGTCCCCGTCCAATTTCAGGCCCGTGTCGCTGATGTCCGTGGACTTGCGCTCCAGTTTCGTTTGCGATAGTCTTGGCCCTGGCCCTTGTGACAGTCTTGGCCCTGGCCCATCAGTCTGGCTTTTGCGATCAGTATCCTTAGTTGCGGAGTTCAAGGCCCCAAAAAGTGTACACTTTTAGTTTTATAGTGGGCAATATGATCCCCCAAAAAGTGTAAAGTGTATCCACTCAGCTACCAAGTATCAGAGCCAACTAAGGAGCCACCAAAAGAGGGCCGACGGCGGGAACGTTCCAGAATCAGTGCCTCGATGGAAACCACTTCGGGATTCCTCGGTGTAAGGTCCAATACCCTTATAGAGCCCTTTATAGGAACCCTTATAGTACCCTTATACTCACTCTTAGGTGCCCCTACTTTTCGGAAACCCCCATGTGGGTGGTTGTCCAAATTCGGGTCCCTGTATGGGTTCTTAATATAGTACGGACTGTAATTTTGACAACTACCCATATGGCTGTGGGTAAATGCTACTTCTTATAATCCGTAAACCGATAATTAGTTACCGTGGACCGTAGTGTTAGATAGAGTGCACCACCCCAAGCCTTGTATAAGTAAACCAACAATTACTTAGTGTTAGATAGAGTACACTCCCCCCCCCCGCAGCCTTGTTGCCTTCGTAAGAGGAAGCACAAGAGACCAGCAGGTCAGAAATTCGTGTCAGCCTGTATGAAGTTGTTTCAGACATCATAAGTGTATTAGCATTGCACGGGCGATCTATATGTACATACACCTGTAGGTCTAGGCAGTATATGAGCGACATTGCTCCAAGACTGGGGTGCGACACCATGGACACCCGAAAGTTCGCACGCCACAGCCCGGCATCCGATAAGATGGAAGCCTGCATTATTGCGGTGCTTCGATGCTATAAATACATATCGTGCAAGCCGGGAACGGTCTTCCAACTATTCAGATCCCTAAATGACCGTCCCACATCCGAACAGCTTCAAAATTGAGGGCTTATGCATAGACGAGTTGATGGCAGCATTTACCCAAAACACCAACCCCAACAACATCCGAAACGAAATCTGAAACCCCAGAGCAACGGTTTAACAAAACACTTAGACTGCCCTGCTATGCAAACTACGATTATCGCTACTGCTATTACTATTTCTACTATTGCTATTCCTATTACCACTCCTACCACTACTACCACTACTACCACTACTACTACTACTACTACTACTACTACTTCTACTGCTACTACTACTACTGCTACTACTACTACTACTACTACTACTACTACTACTACTACTACTATGCCTGTTACTATTACTATTTCTTTTTCCATTACCATTTCTATTACTATCACCATTACAATCACTTTTGCCATCACTGTCACTATCACTAAAACTGTCACTATGACTATCACTAGTACTAGCACTATTACTATGACTGGTCGAGGCTGAACTTAGAACCCTAGCACAAATTACAATTTTAGCTGTTTCTTAGGGATTATAATCACCAAAAACTAAGATTATTTCTAAGTACCCCTAAGTGGTCTAGGCAACCCGAGACTCTCATCGGAATCTTGATCCACCGGGTCTGCTGCTTCGGCATCCTTGCACAGCTGGCAAGGTCTGCAGTCATATGCCATAGAGTCTGGCCCACCAAAGTAAGCCCTAAGCCTTGTTTAGGGGTTTTAGGGGTTTACGGCCCTAGGCCTTGTTTAGGATTTAGGGGTTAAGGGCTTAGGGCCCTACGCCTAGAGCCTAAAAGCCTGAAAGGTCCATTTTGGGTTTGGGGCTTCGGGTGGATATCGAGCTTATGCTATCCTTGGGTCTGGGGTTGGGCTGTGGGGTTCGGGGGTGCAGGTTAGTGGGCTTTGGGATTGAAAGCGAGATCTTTGGGGCTCTTGGTGAAATCTGTCCCAAACTCAACTTTGAAATTCCAAAAAACCATAAACCCTAAACCCTGATCGATGTAACCGAAACCAACCTCGACAACACAAACCGCAGGCTGTCGGATTTGAGCACGGAGGAGCTGCATGGAGGGTTGACATTGCACCATGTCCCTAGGTACTTGGGGTGCGTAGGGTTTAGGGTTTCAGGGCTTGGGTTCGTCCCTGACTAGTTAGGCTTTTAGGGCTAGGTTTAGGCCGGGGCATTTTGGGGTTTAGGGCTCAGGGAATAGACCCCGCAATCCCAAAACCAAAACCGCGTCATCCTAAGCTCCTATGATCCCACGAACACAAAAGCCCTGCCCAGCGAAAAGGGTTTGAGGTTTAGGGTTTAGGGTGACGACAGCGACAATGAAAACGAAAGCAACCCCAACCCAAGCACCAACAACAACAATATCACTACCGCCGCCGCCACCACCACCACCACCATAAGCAGGACAAGCAGCACCACCATCGGCTAAGCGCTACGACTGTCCCAACGCCCAGCAAACTGCTTCTACGGCCGCCACTGTATACACTATAAAGCAATACAATTATGCCCAAACCCCCCAGCCCTATCCGGCATCCCTGCATCCACATCTTGGGTGGCTGCAATATATGACGGCGAGGTCTTCGCCTGAACATCGGAACCCCAAAAGCTCACACAAAGACACGAAATGAGCTTCTGCTTCACGTCAACAACACAAGCTTTGGCTGTCATTTGCACGGGGAGTTGCACCAAAAACATGGTATACACATAGGTTCCTCCACCCCTAAAACCCTTGTCTTGGGGTCTGCTGCTCTGCTCCAGACACAGCCCTAGGCCCTAGGGGTCCATGTGCCCAAATAGTATATACTTTGGCCCCAAAGTACCTATATGGGGACTACATTGAGGCCAAAGTGTATACTATATGAGCACATGGACCCTTAGGGCCGGACACGCAGGGCGATCCGACTACGCCACGGCCGCCCGTCCCTGGCCCAGCGCTCGGCCTGCAGACACCCCCTTCTGGCACCCCAAAGCACCCAGACCTTCCAAAATCCCTTAATTAAGGAATATACCTTAAATTATAATAGGATCCCTAATATGATTAAAGGTATATTCCTTAATCAAGGGATTTTGGAAGGTCTGGGCACGTCCCTCCTCCGTCCCCGCGCTCCTGCGGCCTCCCCCGCCGAGAGTGCACCATCTGCATAGGGCAATGAGCAAGATGAAGCTCGGGATTCATTGGCAGGGTTTGGGGAGTAGGGTTATAAGTCACAGGGCTCATCAGCCACGTTGTGCCGGCTCTGAGTGAGTAAAGATGGCATCAATCTATTGACGATCGGATGGGATGCTGGATGGTAAGTGGCTGGCAGAGTGACTGTGATGAAGGGAGTGAAGCAGCACATGCATGTACTTGCTGCCAATGTCCTAAAACCCTAAACCCCTAAACCGTACCCTAAGCCCTAAAACCCTAAACCCTAAAACCCTAAACCCTAAAACCCTAAACCCTGAAATCCTAAAACCCTAAACCCTAAACCCCAAACGTCATTCGCCGTTTCTTTAACCTCAGGGTCCATGTATTCTGTATTCAATATAGTCTAATAGTATATACTTTGGCCTCAATGTAGTCCCTATGTAGGTACTTTGGGGCCAAAGTATACTTCACAGTATATACTATTTGGGTACATGGAGTTAGTGCAAGCCCGAGGCGAAGTCCCGTACTCTCGAAATGCGACGCTGTGCTTTTGATGGGTGGTTGTCAAAATTATGGTCCCGTTTAAAGTAGGGTTTACGGTTTAGGGTTTAAGGTACGGTTTAGGGGTTTAGGGTTTTGGGGGTTTATGGTTTGGGGTTTAGGGTTTATGCTAATACGGCACCTCTTATTGTAGGGTCCCTTTTCTTGCCTTTGGTTAGTAGGGAATGGAGGAATGGGGTACAATTATAACTACTATTACTACCATTCTTCCATTCCCTACTAACCAAAGGTAAGTTTTTGGGTCCCTATTATGGTACGACACCTATTATTTAGGGTATCCCAAAAGGGACCCTAATTTTGACAACCACCCATATGGGTAGTTCTTTTGCTTACGGTCAACTTGAGGGTCCTTTGTTTCTGGGTGCCGTACTATTTTCGGGATCCTAACAAGGGACCCTACTTCAGTGAACTACCCATCTATGCACAGGCAAAAAGTAGCGCTCTGGGGGCACACAGACAGGAGCAGAGATAGACACACACACACACACACACATGGGTGGTTGTCAAAATTAGGGTCCCGCTTTGGGTCCTCATTATAGTACAGCACCTAATATTTAGGGTACCCAAAAAGGAGCCAGATTTTTGAGAACCACCCACATGCAGACACCGACGTGGTCATGGCTACGAGTTCCAGGTGTAGGGGACTTTTGGGGCAAGCTCTCCCTAACCCACCCTAAACCCCTAAACCCTAAACCCTAAACCCTAAACCCCAACCCTAAACCCCTAAACCCTAAACCCTAAACCCTAAACCCTAACCCCTAAACCCTAAACCCTAAACCCTAAACCCTAAACCCCAAAACCCCTAAACCCTAAACCTCACGGCTCGCCTTCTTCTGTCCCGGGTCTGAGAGTCTCAAGCCGATGGCTCAAGGTTCGCATGGGGCGTAAGTAACCAGGAGGTTTAGGAGGTTTAGGGCTTTGGGGTTTAGGGAGGTTTAGGGGGTTTAGGGGTTTAAAGTTTAGGCTTTAGGGGTTTATGGGGTTAAGGGGTTTAGGGGCAGGGTCCATCCACGCTACCTAGGTACGGCCCCCATACAGTAACAGTCTATAATAGGGCTACCAACTGTGTCTGAGTGGGGGCCGTACCCAGCACGCTACCATTATGGAATTAGGCCCTAAAAGACCATCTCTATTATGGTTTTGGGTGGACCCTCTGGGGAAGGCATCGTTTTAGAGCTGTACCTAGTCGCTTCCACCCAGCCACTGCATTGAAGTCATAAAATCAATCAATAAGTAATCCTTTTCGCATGGCCTAGATATGGGTTTAGCGATGTGGTGGTGTCAGGACTTCTGAGGGTGTGAATAGATGGCGAACCCGCCAAAAACCACAAAACCGCAAGCTTGTTTTATGTTCTTAGCAAGCAATGTATGAGTCTACCAACCCCAAGCATATCGGAGTTTCAAAAACCCAAAACCCCAAACCCCTAAACGCTAAGGGCACTACAGCAACCCGGCCGAAATACTGTACAGGATCGTCACTGCTTGATGAACAACAGGAACTGCAGCATCTACTTCCTCCATCTTATACTAAGCCCCAGCACAAAAATGTCGAGGCCCAAATAATTAGACTAGGGTTGCAGGGTCTAGTACAACTATATACAGACCATACCTGAATGTCGCTACTAAACTGCTAAACAGCCCGATCCTGCATTTATACTGACCTGATTGAAGGCTAAGCCCTTCTAGACTGTAAGCTTTAAGTTTAAGGCCGTTCGAACCCTACAGCAGTATCTAGGATACCCAGTAACCTAAGAATAGAAAGGCCTCTCTTTTTGGTATTGGGTAACTTTATAAGGAACCTAGGACTACAAAAAGGGAATAAGGGTACTACTGGGCATCCTAGGTATCGAAGCTTTAGCACTAAACCCTAAACCTTAAACCCTGAAACCGAACCCAAAAACCCTAAATCCTGAAACCCTGAACCCACACAAGCCCTAAACCCTATAAACACTGAGCCCGAAAACCTAAAACCCAAAAACCCTAAACCCGGAAACCCGAAACCCTGAACCTACACAAGCCCTAAACCCTAAACACTAAGCCCGAAACCCTACGACCCAAAACCCTGAAACCCTGAAACCCTAAACCCACACAAGCCCTAAACCTCAACACTAAGCCCGAAATTCTAAACCCACACACAAGAAACGATGAGCGCGCAGATACGGGCCCGGCCTCCTTGGATTGAGGGAGGGCTATACCCAGGCCTCAGGGTGTATGGGCTTTAAGGTTCAGGGTTTCAGGGTTCTAGGGCTTCAGGGTTTTAGGGTTTAGGGTTTAGGGTTTTAAAGGTTTGGGGAAGCTCATGCCGGAGTCAGACGACCTGCAAAGTTCGGCCTCCTCTGAGCCAAATACTGGCTTCGCTTCCCTCAGAAAAACAAACATGGCTAAGTTGTGAGTACGGTAGGATGACCATACGCGACGGCCGTGGTCGGGAGTTGAAGTGATTCTAGGGTTCAGCGAATGTTCAAGGCTGCAGGTTAGCTCCTTACACCGTGAAGTCCCCAAGCCCTAAGCCCAAACCCGACCTCGAAACTTTCCTCTGCAACAACAGTACGAGATCCTTCAAATGCGGCTGGGCCGGCGAAGAAAAGAGTCAGCAACATACTGAACCATTACTCTCTTCTTCAACAACCGGGCCCCAAAAAGTTCAAACTTTCTAAGATAGAGCTAATATATAAGGCCGAACAGTTTAAAGTTCCCCCGTTCACTATCTAAGATTATAGGACCTAAAACCCTCATCAAACCCTCTGTAGTCCCTGAGGCGGCGCCCCGAAGAGATTCGGCACCAGTCGACACGAGAACGCTTACGGCCACAGAAACCAAACCATAAACCCATCCAGACCTTCCAAAAGCCCTTAATTAAGGAATATACCTTAAATCATATAAGGGATCCTATTATAGTTTAAGCTATATTCCTTAATTAAGGGGTTTTGGAGGCTCTGGGCAAACCATAAACCCAGATCGTACTGGGATTTCGTGACGCAGGTTTGGGAGTGCAGTGGTTGAGGGCTTAGCAGTTACCAACTAATACATAAAACGAAGCGACCTTCTTAAAGACTACTTTTAAAAATGGGAGGCAGATTGATCATACCCCAAGAGTCCTACAAGCCCTGACTCCAAACTTCTGAACCCAAAAATGTCGGGGTCGGATAGTAAGCTTGAAGACTATCCATTACATATCTGAATGTGAGTGTAACAAGTTAGTGATATAAACTGATGGTGCTGGTGGTGATGATAGTCTTGATGCAGACGGTGAACATGATGAACATCGTGAAGATGTGTATAATAGATGATGACGCTGAGGATGATGATGATGATGATGGTGGTCTTGATAAGCTGACGATGAAAACCAAAACAGGCGAACAAACACACACACACACACACACACCCGCGCGCGCACGCACACACACACACACAGACACACACACACACACACACACACACACACACACACACACACACACACACACACACACACACACACACACACACACACACACACACACACACACACACACACACGCAAACACACACCCACACACACATACACATGCACACGCACACGCACGCACTCGCACACACACGGCCCTGGAAACCTGCCGGTCTGTGAGGGTGCGGCTGTCGCCTACATGGAGAAGGAATGCTAGCCTCGACCGCGGGTGCGGCGGCTTCGCGATTAGATTAGGGTTTGGGCCTTGGGATTCGGAGCTTTGGGTTGTTTGGTTCAGAGTTGAAGGTTTGGAGTTGAGGGCTTATGCTGGAGATAAAGATTCGTGTGTGTTCGAGGACAGTTGCTTGAGGGCATGGAGGGTTTGTCTATAAAGTCACATGACGTGAAGCCCATGTTAAGTCTGAATGTAAGCAAATTCTTGCAGCGAAGTGTGACGAGGGTTGAAGGTTTCATATGATATAGGGGCCGGAATAAATTAGTGCCAATATTCTCTACAGGGTCGATGTACTCGCAGTATGATACTCCAATTCAGTACGTCCCGAAACTAGCCGTCGCTGGGATCTACAGGTTTTAGGGTTTTACGTGGGCTTGAACGGTAAAGGGTTATCATGCTGTATAGAAAATTACAGCTTTCAGAAGAATCATGTAGCACGGTAGTATCAAGTTACATCAATATGAGTTTCGCTCTTTGACAGGATCTATACCTGGAAAATTACACACAAGACGTGTAACACTCAGGCCCTGCTTGGAGATTCATGGGTAGCCTCAAGTGGAGTTATATGTAGGGTAGCTTTGCGTACAGCCCATGTTACGGGGCTTATAGCTCCGTTTATATCTACCCATGAGCCTCCAAGTAGTGTTCTTCCGTACGATTTGCTTGTAGAGCAACACATAAAGAAACTCTAAACTCTAAACCCTAAACCCTAAACCTAAACCCTAAACCCTAAACCATATGCTTTTTGGGGCCGAAGCCCGAAACACTGCTGCAGAAACCAGGAAACCTGAACTCTCTGTGCCTACTTGGAGGTTCATGAGAGGTTATAGGGTTTAGGGTTTAGGGTTTAGGGTTTAGGTAGGGCAACTATATAGTTATAACTCATAATAGGGGACATATAACCCCACTTATAACTAGCCACGAACCTCCAAGTACCCCTAACTTGAAAGCATGCTGCTGGAGTTCACGTCTGCGCGGACTCTCATCCTTTCTGCCCTTGAACTTGAAGCGCTGTGTGACGAGCCTCTTCAACCACAAACCGTCAGCGCTGTACGTCGTTTGCCGTAGATCCTAAACCCAAAGGTTGGAAATGCGTGGTGCCCATGGCCGATAGATAGAACGAATACCCTCAACCGAAAGCCACAGTCTCCGCAAATAGGGGACCCTAATATGGGACCCCAAATAGTAGGATCCTTTTTATGAGGACCCCAAAACACGGTACCCCTAATTTTCGGAAACTCCCACATTGGTGCATCTTCACTCCCTTAAGTCTCTCGAATCGTCACGAGGTCGATGTAACCCTTGACCCCTTTCAGGCACTCAAAGTGGCAGACAGTCTGATAGTCGGCAAAAAGTCGGCAGGGGGCGTTCATGTAACCGCACCAACAAGTGTTCAGCTCCAGTAATCATAAAATATTCATCCATGCCGGAAACAAGTAAACTGAGAATTGGCAACGGAAACAAAAGCAATTGCAGACAACAGCTGCAATGGCGATAGCAGCTACAGCTAAGTGAAGCAGACTATTGCAGAAGTAAACAACATGAAACATTCACGTAAGAGGGGACAAACACAACAACACAGGCGTGCGTTTTTAATGAACTTTCGTAGAAAGCAGCTACAGCAGCAACAATGATCACACTACAGGAAGCATAATCATTTGCCGCTCGGTGTAATACAATTGCGTAGCTACCTCAAACGCGAATAAGCAAAACTCTTTGCAACGGACAGTACACGAACTATGAAGATAAGCAAGTAGGATAAAAGCGTTGGAACAGCCGGAGCATCATTGTCCTCATGCCGCTCAAGTAAAGCATGGGGAATGCCAGCAGCTAACATCCTAAATTATGAGGTTCGCTGTATCCCTTAACCCTAAACTCTATACTTGTTGCAGGCAAGGCACCAGAGGAGGGAAGAGCAGCCAGTGTTCACTACCGTATCCTGCACTTGAGACTTGGGAGTTGTGCATTCTCTTTTTGTTTGTTACCCTTGGCTTTACCGATGTAAGGCATCTCGGCAAAACCCAAACATGATGGCGCCTCCGTTCAAGGGACAGCAGATAACATAATTCCATAGCCTACTTGTCGGGTATCATGGGGAACTAAAGGTTAACCTTCTTGGGGACAAAAGGGATTGTATAGGGACTAGACGTATATTGCCCAAAACAGGGTTAAAGGTTCCCTACCTAAACCTAAGAGTAACCTAGGAATAAAAAGGGTGCCCTTTTTGGTTTAAAGGGGCTTATAAGGGAACCTGAACTCTAAAAGAAGGGAACAAGGGCCTACTCTACAGGTTTAAAGGTTACCTACTCTACTACTAGGATACTGGGTGCCGCTCCTACAGACTTTACTGGCGAAGCCACAGGGTCCCAAGGACCCAATAATTAGGTACTCCGTTTTAGGGTAGTAGTTATAGTAACCTAGTAATAACAAAAAGGGTACCCTTTTTGGTTTAAAGGGTCTTATAAGGGAACCTGAACCCTAAAAAAGGGAATAAGGGCCTACTCTAGGTCCTGGTAGGTTAGGATTTTGGAGAGCATATGATTATTAGGTACTTGGACCCTCAGGGAAGCTCTGTCAACACCCCCATGCCCTTAAACCCTAAACTTTGAGCCTTTCAGCTTAACTGTTAGGGTTTAGGTTTAGGGTTTAGGGTTTTATAGCCTTTACAACATTTAACGCTGCACCCGAGGATCCAATTGACGACAACATTTGAGTCTCGAAAAAATCATGTTTCAGGTCGTGCCAAAAGAGAACCTTAGCTCCAAAACGAACGACAAGCCCTGAAAAGGATTCCCCAACACGAGCATCCCATGGAATCTCACCAGTACTCACGCGCTTAGTCAGATTGAGACAACTGCATGATGCTGTGCCGCCCAGGGCCAGAAACTTTCAGGAAAGCCCGACTGTTCCAAATTAGCCATTGTCCCCCCTAAAACCCTAAAGCCTAAACCCTAAAACCCTAAACCCTAAACCGATCGTGCGCATCTCGCATTCAATGACCACCTGCGACTCGTCTGCATACTCTCGGTCTTAAGATCCCTGACGGCAGCAGCAAGGTCGGGTGCGTTGTCGGAATATAGCATGCCGATTTATTCTCGTCCTTCACAAAGACGTGGAGCGAATCTTCATAGTACTGATCGGCACTCTTTGTGTCGAATGAAGATCTCGGCAGCTTACCGAGGGCTCAGGGTTTACGGATTCGGGTGTAGGCTTTAGACATTGACGCTGGCCCTTGTTAGAGCTTCGGCCTAAAACATCTTGAGTTTAATTTGATCCATCCTAAGCTTAGATATTGAGAGAATCCCAAAACATCCTCTGGAAGTACCAGTATTGGGAAAGCAGACGCACCACGCCCCCGTTGTAGAATAATCTGATTTGAGTCAGGTACGGCCTCTCGAGATACTGTTGATGATATAAACCCTGCATTACCTTAAGGACCCTGAACTATGGGAACTATGGTATATTCCTTATTATTATGGGTAATGCAGGATTTGTATCATCAACCGTATGGCTCTAGACCCCGAGCCCTAAAACTTATAAAACCCACCAGCGACATGAAACGGTTACAAGAGGGGGAAAAAGGCGATTTAGGGTCCGAGTGCCAACTAAATGCGTGTAGGGCCAGCAACATGCCAACTCGCGCCCACCCCACCCGCCAAAAAACATCAACGCCTAAAGCCCAAAACTCAAATCCCGTACCCAAAAACATAACCAGACTGAATTGAACACAAAGCTCTCAACGCTGATCCTGCCTTTGCAGCCCCCATAGAAGCCGAGGGCTGTTTGGCTTAGGATCTTGAGCCAAAGCTGCAGACCAAACATCTACTGACGATTCACTGATTAGGACTTTGGGTTTTAGGGTTTATACAATGGTTCTCAGGTTCAGTGCTCTGGGACTTTGGGGTTAATCGGTTAGGGCTCCACAACTACATACTTCTTACCAATGCGACGACGATGCCTGCCCTGACGCCGACGACGACGAGTGATGTTGTGATGCCCACGTGGACAACAAGGCGCATTGCTCCTTCCGATTCTGTTTCCGTTGTTGTATTGTTCCGTTAAGGTTTAGTTCAGGGCTTGGGGTCTATGGCTCAGGCCCCCCTCCTACCGTTTGACCTGGTTTCACCTAGCACTGTCTACCGGTCCTCGAAATCATGCAAACAAGCCCTGTAAAATCCTAAAGTCATTGAATCATGAGGGTTCCCATGAAGCCTCGCAAACCCCGCACGCGAAGCTCCTCAGCCCAAAAAAGCTGCAAGCCCACATCCGAAGCTCTAATTATTCAAGTGTATATGGTTTCCCGAAATCCTGAACCAGCAAGATTCTGAAAGGCCCCAAACGGAAAATCATAATCCCCAACATCACAACAAACACCACATTTCTTCGGCCCGCAGACAGCCTGAGGCGCTAGAGGCGAGGAAGATTCGAAGAAGACATCTTTGCCCAGAGAGCCTAAGTTGACCTGTGAGAAGTTTTTGAGGATGGTATCCTTATAGATCCCTTATAGTAACCTTATAGATCCCCTATAGGAACCTTATAGATCCCCTATAGTAACCTTATAGACCCCTTGTAGTAACCTTATAGATCCCGTATAGGAACCTTATAGTTCCCTTATAGCAACCTTATAGATCCCTTAATGGTACCCTTATGGATCCCTTAATGGTAACCTTATAGATCTCTCATAGTAATCTTATAGATCCCTTATAGTAACCTTATAGAGTCTCTTGGGGATAAGGTTATGGTGATGATAATGATGACGACGAGGGCTCTCAGTCTTTATTTGCAATTATCCTTACTAGTAAGTATTACAACTATTGCTGATCATTCTTATTATCATCATCAGCTGTTGTTCTTCTTACCATTACTGCTATTACTATTAGTGTTCTTATTCTTATTACGGGTGTGGGCTCTCCGGGTGGGGAATCCTGTGGTCCTCTTGATCTTTTCGGCTTCTTGGCCTAGGTTTCTCCCGGCCTGCAGTTTTTCCATGCTATATACTCGGTTTCGGGCTTTAGGGTTTACGGTTTAGGCTTTGAGGTGAAAACCTAAAGGGCTGAGTACCCTAGCCCCAAACAAGGTTCGGCGCAGCTTTTTGATTTAAAAGGTTCGGTGCAGCTTCATTTTTGTTCAAGGGCCCTTTTCCGTCTGCTCCAGCGAAAGCCTCTTTTAGGTTGCAGGTTTTAGGGTTTCGGGATTTAGGGGTTTAAGGTTTAAGGGTTTGGGGTTCTTGGCTTCACGAGCTTTGTTCCAAAGTTCTTTTTAGTTGGCGAGTTCATGCGAGTTCAAAAGCCCCCAAACGTCTATACTTCCAGCTCTGAAAATTGAATAAGCAAAAGTGTGAAGTGTGCGCATTCAGCTACAAAGTCACTTTGTTGGTTTAACCCGTTTTATTTCATTTAGAGCCCTACACCCTAAACCTATAAGGAGCCCCCAAAAAAGAAGTACACTGGAGGCTTCGCTAAGATGTGTCTAGCAGGGCCCCCGGTCTTGTTGTGTAGGGTTAAAGATGGGTTACTGTAGGGGCCCGAAGCCTCCTAAACCCTTAACCCTAAACCCTAAACCCCTAAACCCTTAACCCTAGATACACCCTATAAGCCCGACAAGCCTCATAAACCCTGTAAGCCCGATGAAGCCTATCATGCAAGAGCCGAAATTTAGATACCTATACTATTCTGGGCGGTTCCTTGTTATATGAATAATATAAGGGGCTCGAAAACCCCAGTCTAGTGCCCGGTCGTCCAACACATTTCAATACCGAACAACTGCACATGGCTCCAATTCCCAGTCCTTGCGGGATTGCGCCGTAAGGGGTATGAAGGCCTACATTGCATACTATACACACTAAACCCTAAACCCTAAATCTACATATATATAAAAATAAATAAGTAAATATATATCTATATATATACATACCCAAAACGCCGAGCCCTTTATCTAAATACTCTTGAGGGCTGCTTGTTCATTCAGGGTCGATAGATTGAAACTTTGCAGGCTAGAAGCCTCAGATCTCTCCGCAATTGCCCTAAATCGCGTACTGCACGGCCTTAGCCTACACTTCAATCCGGGAGTACGAAGTCAGGGTTCAGATCTGGTAATGTTGCTAGTACTCCTGCTTGATCCGAACCTCTAACACCAGGCCGACGCCGCCGACGCCATGCCGTCCGGGGGCGATCCCCCAACTGGAGCGGGCGATAGTCCTTCACGGAAATCTCCGGCCGCGCGGGGCGGTGACTGGCCATGTCTGTAAGATTTAAGGTTTAGGGCCTAAGCTCTGTACTTGATTAACTCGCTAATTCGGATTTTTGAGTCCACGGAAACTGGCCAGGCTCTTCAGGTACTTCAGGTTTCTGGGCCTTTAGATGATTTCTGTGGCGTGTGTATGGATGCCGGCCGTGAGCATGATGACATGATGATGGGTTTAGGGTTTAGGGTTCAGGGTTTGCATGACGATCAGGACAGTGATGTTAAGCAGAACCAACAACCGAAAGAATATCTTCTTCCAGATCGATAACCAGATATAGTAAGGCGGCCCTTATAGTAGCCCCGTCAATTGCCTCGCTTGTCCAGTATCCTAGGAGAACTATAAAGACTAACCTTCGGGGGAGGGTATATACAAATTCTCGTACACCCAAAAACAAAGATATTGAAGGCATTTTACTTGGGTAATATTGTTCAGCGTTCAAGGGTTTAGGTTTCAGGGTTCAGGGGTTTAGGGTTCGGGGATTTCGCTTCGGGGTGTTGGTGTTGTTGCTGGTGCTGCTGGCGGCCGGGTGGCAGACGGTCATTATAATATTTTGTAATGGGGCAAGTGCAAGGTGAGGAACCGCACGTCGTAACAAAAGGACTTCATTTTATCACCTCTAACAACTCTAAGGTAAAAGCCAGAAAGATGGAATATGATTATCCTAACCCTTCTATGGTAAATTGTAGGGTATCCTACCATGAAACCATATTCCAACTTTCTGGAGTTCCCTGTAGCTCGCAAGTAGCTTCGGAGCTAGAGGTTGATTCGGGATTTAGGGCTGCAACGTCTAGGGCGGGTCCATCTAAGGGGCCTTGCGCGTTAGGGGTCTTTACGCTACTTATCGGGTATGGTGGGTAAGTAAAGGTTAACCTTTTAATTTTGGCTATATAGGGATTATTTAGGGGTGACTATACTACTCAAAAACGGTTAAACGTTACCTACTCTAACTACTAGGTTACGGTAAAGCTTTAGAGTTTGAGTTTGGCCTGCACGCTCTGTGTGGCTCGCGCAGCCACTTCCCAGCAACTTTGCGCGGGATGACATCAATGGGCTTCCCGCGGCTGCATACCACTATGGGCTATTAGACCCTAAAGATCCCTATTAGGACCCTAATAAGGGTAGATTAAGGCACCCATAAGGTCTAACAGCCCATAGTGGTATGGGGGCAGCACCCCGCCGTGAAGACGAAGGGTTCCTTAGTTCCTGAGTTCAGAAGCCCCCCCCAAAATGTACACTTTGGGTTTTATAGTGGGTAATACTAGCCCCAAAAAGTGTAGAGTGTATCCACTCAGCTGCTAAGGTTCGGAACTAAGTCGACGGTTTAGGGTCTAGCGTTTAGGGCTGCGAGGTTTCAACTTGCCTTTTTCTCTGAAGCCAGGTCCTGCGAACACTGAAGCTAGTAAACCTCCCACAAACGAAGTGCCAGAACCTAAACCCGGAACCGCTCTAGAGATTCAATTTTGTTGATTTGCTGTCTAGTTCCGGAGAATGCTGGACTAAGGGTTCACTGCGATGTACTTTGAACATGAGCCATGCAGAGATAGCTTTAACAGCCAGTTTACGAGGGAAAGCAAACCCCTCTCAAACCGAAACTTGCAAATCCTACACCGCGTTCACTAACATGGATCGAGGCATAGAACTCCAAAAAGGCTAGTCCTGTACGGCTGTCCGTAAGCACGACGGATTGGTAACGCGACCATACTTGTCTCTCTTGCAGTTGCCCTCGTTTGTTGTTGCTCCTTCGTCAAATGCTATGTCCTGTGCCTCTGAATCCCAATTAGAAACCCTAAGCCCCCGATCCTGTCTGTTTTGTGCCTTCCACGACTAACCAAACCAAGTACCAAATGCCCGTATAGTATCTTTTGCTTGCACGAGTACATAGATGGGATATTAGGGGTTGGGCTAAGGTATCATAAGCCCACTGGCTTTTTGGAGAACCGCGTCATGAGGAGACGTCAGCCCCTGCTGGTGCAGATCACCTGGCTCTATGCCCTACACTTGCCCTAAAAACCCTAAACCGTAAACTCTGAACCCTATAGACCCTAAACTTGAAACCCTAAACCCTATACCCTAAACGCTAAACCCTGAATAAACCCTATAAGCCCGACAACCCTCATACACCCTGTAAGACCTGTAAACCTTGTGAAGCCTATAATGGAGGGGCTTAAATAATTACCAGTACTATTTTGGGGGTTCCTGAGGGTTGATGATGAAAATCCTGCATTACCTTAAGGAACCTGAAGAATGGGAACTATGGTATATTCCTACGGGTAAGGCAGGATTTATATCATCAACCGTGTTTTTGGGGGTTCCTAAGGCCCCTACATTAAAACCTCTAAGCGCGACAAACCCCACAAGTCCCATCGACCCTGTATCCCGATGAGCCCTAGAAGCCCGATAAGCCCTATAAGGCGGATAAACTCTATACTTGGTTTAGGGTTTAGATCTATGGTCTAGGGTTTAAGGATTACCGAGTTGATAATAAGTTAGGTACGGCCCCCATACAGTAAGAGTCTATAATAA